CCTCGGCCCCCCACCCCATCACCACCACCACCACCACCACCACCTCCCTGCGCGCACGCGTTTCTGTCCAACTTTGTGGTCATGAGAGGGGAAGCAGAGGCGATTTATTTTGAATAAGAGTGTTGGGTGCACCAACGGTGACGTTTCTGTAAGGTTCGAATGCTCCGTTGGCCTGAAAAGCTTTAAATCAGCGATTTCAGCTACTGGAATCACTAAAGGGGCCATGGTCTTCTTGCAGTTAATGTTTGTATTTTTTGTTAATTCTTTATTACGGTTTGGCCTTGTAGGAAAAGATGCTTTATAACTCATTTATGCTTTACTTAAGCAATTAAGTAGTGCCTTTTTGAAGTTACTTTATGCGTCCCACTGCGTGGTGAACCTTCAGCAATTTAATCCGCCAGAGGGCGCCGCTCTGAATCTCAATTTATAGAAATCTGAAGATTTACGTTTTTGGACGAACCTTAAATTTACGCAGAGATAAATCGATAGCAAGCGTAATTTGTGAGGGTGTCCTGCACTGTCTGCCAGGGGTAGTACTTGTGGGTAGTACCATCAGTGTGCACTGCTAAAATAAAGCTAAATTCCCAGAGGAAACAGCAGCTGGGTTCTGTGTGTGTGTTTGTCTGATTATGGCATTGGAGGGAAAACGGTCATTCCCCCTCAAATCAAAGCAATAGCCCAAGAGGTTAAAGAGTGAGCAAATGGCAAACAACAGTAACACTTCGGGGCATGTTGATTTTGATCTATTTCCATTGGTATCCTTAATTTCTGGAAAGGATTCATTTTGAACCTCAATTTTGCTGCCACAGTTTCTGGTGATGTTGCTTCATCTAATGGGTAGTCGTAAACTTTTACACGGGACAAAATGTGCACAAAAACAACACACAATACACATGATTGGCTCCATCCGCATTTGTATGCATGTCCTGCATAGAGTATAAGAGAAACATATTCTGGAAAATGTACTTTTTAAGTTGCTTGTAAACTAACAGTTGGGCTTCAGCAGTGCCTGTCTCACCAAGTGTGAAATTAAGCAACTGCGTAACTCTTTTGTGATCTGCTGATTTCGAAATTTAGGTAAACAATAAAATAAAACAAAATCAAGTTGTTCTGACTTTCACATTCCAGATTGTGATGCAACAGTGTAATGGCTAATTGAGGTTTAATAAAAGCTCCACACAAAGCGGCTTGATGTCAAAGTCAATAGGTAAGCAAAGCTGCAGCTGTAAGCACAGACTATCATCCTAGCCAACAGCCTTACCGGCATTAGCTTCTGAAAACCAGTACAGACTCATAACGGTTCGCAAGAAGCAGGAATTTGTAGTTGGCCATGTGTCTGCTGCATGCACCACATGCATGGATTCGCACATTAATTGAAAGAATGGGCAGGGTGGACAGTGGTTCATTTTCATGAGGCGTACTCCTCAAAAAAGTCTAAATTCCAGGATATTTGCTCAACAAACTTCATTTAGACTGTTCCTGAGAATCTCTCAGTCAACTGAGTTTTTAGCTCTGCCATTAAGTCACTGTTTGAGTACGCAGATTGGGACAGATGGGCATGGTAACTGACACGTCACAAGGTCCTGCATCCTTGGCAGATTGTGTCAACGTGTCAGGATAAAAGGCGGCATACCAGAACGGCAGGCCACAGTGTTGCCATGACAGACGCCAATCCAGCACAGTGTAGACAGCCTGACTCGCCGCTTTCCTCCTCTGTTGATAACCCCAAGCGCAAATATTTCCCTAGGATGTGACGACAGCATAGGCCAGACACACAGGAAGCTGGAGAGTAAAACAGGAGTCAGCAAAAGTGCTGGTGCCACATCACCACATCAGGTCACTCCTGGCAGCCTGCTGGAGTTCATCGTGGGATGGGCGTATCCGTTTGTCATCTATTTCCACATTGCATGTTAACTAAATACAATTCACAATAAATGCTACCTGAGGCACTTAAGAAATGATAATTCAACTCATGACTACAACAAAAAGATGTATTTTACCGTGGCTTGTTCTATTAGTTAACTAACTACCTGCATGATGATACATTGCATCCTTTTGTTGTTGAATTGATTGCTGCCACACATAAAAAAGACTTGAGTTGTTCTGTCATTGTACTTCAACTAGTCTACTAATATTGCTCATAAGAAACAAATTCACGAATGACCAGTTGCTATTTCAAATGTTCAAAGCTTACAAATTTAATAAAGTACTGCATTCAAAAATACGTCTGTGGGCTTAATTTTACATTTCTCAACTTCCATCAGCACTTTTTTTCTTTTCCATTAGAAATGAGAAAAACACTGGAATTTACTGTATGTAGGCTCCTAATCCCCTAAAACCTGCAGGTGTTCAACTAAAATCCAAAGCCAAAAAAAAAAAACAATAATAATTTAGGGATGGACTAAAACACTTAGTTCAGACCTTTTTCATGTATTTTTTTTGTGGAGGAATAAATCAAATTTCAAAATGAAATACATTTTACACAAAGACATTCAAAGTTCAGTAACGTTCTTACCGTTTTTGTGATTCTGTTCATAGATTTGTCACTTTCTTTCAACATGAGTGGATTTGACATTCAATGAACAAAAGTTCTTCCTGAAACAAAGGACAGTAAACACAAAGGACGCAGTGAGCCAGAAGAAATGCTGACTTGTTGCTTCTCAGGGAATAAATCATGAGCCAAGTAAATAAACCACACCGCTACATTGCACTCGTTGTCTACAAAACAGCTCTTTATTTTGGTGGCCCTGTACAAAAGCGTGGTTTTGACACAGGTTACACAACATTAAAATCTTCAGCACACAACATGGTAAAAACAATCTGGATGGTGGAGCTGAGCAAAGCAGTTCAGTGGTTAACTGGTCCATCATCCATCATAAAAAAAAAGTGTATTTTTCCTCTGTTGCATGTTAATTTTTTTCCATGTATATGCGCTGCCTCTCATATCAACAAATGACAACATTTCTCAATCTTTTCTGAGCAGGCGCCAATCCGATGAAGAATTTCCCATTATTTTTCATTCACAGAACCAAGCACGGTCCTGTAACTCGGTGAATACAACGCTGCCCCCTGTTGATTTCACTCGCTTGGCTGAGTGAACAGGCTCAAACCATTCACAATGAACTCCAAAGTCTCTTGCTTGGTATGGGGTCAATCGGAATCACATCCATTGGCACCGTTTCCTGTATGTTCCTTGGCCTCCTCTTCTTTATCCCAGTCTTTCATAGACGCTCCCATCATAAAGTCGTCAGTGAGGACACTCCACGCTGGTTTCTCCACCTCATCCGTTGTCTACGGAGATGCACAGACACAATGAAACTGTTAAGTTGGGACTATGAGCCACATATCTGGCACTAAAACAATATTGCAACTTATTCCCAATTTTTAATGATCTCTGGAGTCTCTCATCCACCTTTACTGTTAATAAATGTTACTTTTTTATTTGTTAAATAAACGCCGAAATCACCGCAGCCTTTAAAATGGGTTTTCAGATCTGCTCTGCTCTGCTCTGTGCAAACATCATACCCTGGAAATGTAATTTATTTTGTGAAGGCCAATGTGCATTTCGGTGAGAGACAAGACATGCTTAGTTTTTTTAAGCCGCTGGCACATATGAAATTTTAAATACAATGAAGAGTTATTGTAAACCCCAATATTGACACACATACAACTGTTGGTACCCATCTGTCAACAGAGAAACCCGCCAAATGGTCACTGAAATAAGTGACCAAAATAATACAAATACATTTAAATGGAACCAATGAAAATCAGACAGTGCTTTTGAATGAATTGTGGTCAAACGGAATCATAGTATATACACTTGATTGGTATGGCTTGGTGGCAGCTGGCTAGATCTCCACGACATACCCGCAAATGTTTTTGCTGTGAAAGTTGATGTGACACAGGATTGCATTTTTGATTAGCTGTTACATCTGCACCCGCGATTCAAATTTTAAAATCGCAGAAAGACTCATGGCAGAACCCTGCAGGCTGCCCAACAATTCTCTGGCGTTTCGCGACGGCGTAAGGTGTACGACGGGCCTAAGATGTATACATCAGAGGGGGCGGGGCTGAAGCACACATTTGTTTGTGTACTACGTGCAGTGTGGTCGACAGCCACATTTTACAGTCATGAGGTTCAGCAAGCACAATCAGTGATGTATTCCTAAATCGAATAGAGGTACACATTGAGCACACACACACACACACACACACACACACACACACACACACACGCAACTGAAAAATTATTTCACCATGAATACTAGCACAAAGTGTATCCCCACCGAGTTGCAGTTTGCCTTTTATCAATTACCCACATCACATAAAATCGGATGGATGGATAAATCACTCGCTCATGTCTGGGTACAGACACAGTGATGCGAGCAGCTCCTCCTCTGCTCACGAGCACAATGAATAAATAATGAATCCCAAACCACCTCAACTAGAAAATATGCCATATATCCAAATGGATGTTTCTGCAGCACTGCGGAAGACAGTGACGTTAAATCACTGAGTGCATGGATGGATGAGACCGGCGGATCCTAAAATTGATGGGAGGTTGTTTTTTGCCAGTAATTTGAATGCACAGAAACCGTCTGGCTCTCTCACCCCTTACCTTTTGCCTTTCGTAAAAGATAACACATCCGAAATTAATTTTTAAATCATGGCGATAGAAATCTTCACAAAAACTGTCTCGAGAGGGGTAAGTAGTCACACAGACATCATACAGCGATTCAAGATGATCTTTTTCTTTTGTTTGAAAACAATATAAGAAACTTAAGTTTTGTTTTTGGAGGAGTTATGCAAGAAAAAAAAGAATCACTTACACTTGTGTCCTTTTCTGTCTTGACTGTGACTCTGGCGCCACCTTCAGTTTTCCTTAGTACATCAATAAAGTCTCTTTTGGAAACGGAGGAAAGTATTTTTGCCTTTTTCCTCTCTGAGCCACCAGCCTCCATCACCTTGTTATCAATGATGTATTCCTAAATCGAATATAGGGACACATATAGCACACACACACACACACACACACACACACACACACACACACGCAACTGAAAAATTATTTCACCATGAATACTAGCACAAAGTGTATCCCCACCGAGTTGCAGTTTGCCTTTTATCAATTACCCACATCACATAAAATCGGATGGATGGATAAATCACTCGCTCATGTCTGGGTACAGACACAGTGATGCGAGCAGCTCCTCCTCTGCTCACGAGCACAATGAATAAATAATGAATCCCAAACCACCTCAACTAGAAAATATGCCATATATCCAAATGGATGTTTCTGCAGCACTGCGGAAGACAGTGACGTTAAATCACTGAGTGCATGGATGGATGAGACCGGCGGATCCTAAAATTGATGGGAGGTTGTTTTTTGCCAGTAATTTGAATGCACAGAAACCGTCTGGCTCTCTCACCCCTTACCTTTTGCCTTTCGTAAAAGATAACACATCCGAAATTAATTTTTAAATCATGGCGATAGAAATCTTCACAAAAACTGTCTCGAGAGGGGTAAGTAGTCACACAGACATCATACAGCGATTCAAGATGATCTTTTTCTTTTGTTTGAAAACAATATAAGAAACTTAAGTTTTGTTTTTGGAGGAGTTATGCAAGAAAAAAAAGAATCACTTACACTTGTGTCCTTTTCTGTCTTGACTGTGACTCTGGCGCCACCTTCAGTTTTCCTTAGTACATCAATAAAGTCTCTTTTGGAAACGGAGGAAAGTATTTTTGCCTTTTTCCTCTCTGAGCCACCAGCCTCCATCACCTTGTTATCAATGTTCTTCTGGTGCTTCCTCACCGCATTGAACAGCTGCACAACTCCTCTTAGTGGAAAAAATAAACACAATCAGCCTTTATGCTCACTTCCTTGTCACAATACAAAAATACACGATAACACACCTAGTTGCAGTTCTTTGCAGAGCTTTTTCAACCTCTCGGTCCTTCACCAAGTCAGGTTTCACTCTGCACATCATCTCCCATGCTCGTTTCTTGTCAGTCTGATGGACAAAAAAAGCAAGCACAATAATAAGATTTGCAATGTCTGTCCAAAACATGTGCCATTACACCAGTTCCAGGGATCAGGAAAGGCAATAATTACGGTTTTAAAGTTAAATTTTATATTTACAGATTAACATGTTCAATAGTTTATCAAACATTGACTTGCATATACTTTTTAAAAAAAATTATAAAAGGTTCCATCAGGATAAAGTGGTCAGTTACTTTTATTTTCTTTTTCTTGTAACAATAAGGACACAATTTCAATGTAATGTAGCACTTGCCAGCAGCTTTAGTTATACAAAAAATACAAAGAAAGCAAAACAAATATTTTCTCTTATGCCTGCTCAGTTTTTAGTCTTGGATCTGTGAACTCCCATACGCCTTAACTTAATGTGCTATGTAAATATGTAACAATATCACATTGTACAGTAATAATAATAAATAAATGACAACAAGAGGGTTGCTCCAGTTCCACCTCTGTTTTGGTGTTTATGTAATGATTAATCGTCCAAAAAAAGCTGAGCAAAAAAATGGGTACATTGGATAAATGAAGTGTTTTTACAATTTTTGGGGAGTGATTTTCTTTTGATGATGATTGACCGCGATGGGAGTGAGTGGAGTTCAGAAAACAATTCAGCGAAGTGCTGAGAGTTGACATTTAACAATAGGCAGTTGGTTTTAGGTACCGGTAATAGGTAACTCAATATTGCGAGGGGATGATCAGGCTTCCTGCTTTTAAAAAAACAAAACAAAAAAAAAAACGGAGGTAATGACCTGTTCCTTCCTCTCCAACTGCTCCTGTTTTTCTTTTGCCTTCACCTTGTCCAGTTCTTTGTTTTTCACTAAGATGGTTTTGTTCTTGACGGTTTGCTTCCCCAAAACCTTGGCCATTGCCTGTGCCCAGCCAGCATTGGGATTGCCATCCTCCTTCTCCTGACCTCCATCTTCATCGTCTCCATCATTCTCGCCGTCCACATTTCCGTCAGATTCTCCATCAGATGACATATGATCATGACTCTCCTCACCTGAGCTATTCAGATCATTTGTGTCCTCCACAGGTGACTCGGCATCATCTGGCGAGTAAGAAATTATTCTTAACTCATCTGTCCAAAAATAGCCAGTTTAATGCTTACATCGTGTATCAATGGTTAACGTTTGACACGTGACTACAGTAAAATTCAAATGGGAAGGCAATATCGGACCAAAATAAAACATACCTAGATTGCCAATATCATCAAGTGCATCAAATTTGCCCAAACGTTATGTCCAAGGTTATGTCATAATACTCGGAAAAGCAGGTTAATTGGTAAATTACAGCAACACGTGAAAATAGCATTATGTCTAACTTTCTAACGTTACGGCGTCATATTGAGAGTCACAGACCAATTAGAATGTCCGTTAAAAAGTTGACGAAGGTAACACTTCATGTGTACTCTCAACGCGGTGTTACACTAAAACACATAAAATAAAAAGTACACGGTAGATTCAAATAGTTACCGCTATCTTCCAAGATCCGCACACGAGTACCAACTAAAGCGGCCATTGGGGAGTAACAACGAAAGGATTCCGAGTACAAGTAGCAAGAGCGGATGGTTCCTACACTTCTTCATCTTCTTTCATTCACTGGCGGATTGCAAGCGATTTACATGTGAATATCGCCACCTACTGTACAAGAGTGTGTATCACCCATGTCCCGAATTTCACAATCTGTACATGAGTCAATTGTCAACGGTTCCTCTTCGTTTTCATCTCGTTTGAGTTGAATGGTTGGCAACGAGCAATCAGATAGATTACTGGCCGTGAATGGACTGTCGATCAGCCAGTCTATAAAATGGATATCATGATACAGACAAAAACATTTCAAATACTGTACAAACTCATTTCACAAACAATCATGAAACTTACTTTTAATGTGTGCTATCAATACAGAAAATGTATCCTGGATTTGTTGTTGTTGTTTTTGTTTGTTACATTATTTAGTTTATTTGTTTTTGTGACATTCAGGAACATAGCAAGCAGCAACACTTGCCGAGTTCGGGAACGATTTCCAATCGGTGCTGGGTGTGCCTTCGGACTACGAACAGTTCCCAATCAACAACAGTAAAATTCAAATGGGAAGGCAATATCGGACCAAAATAAAACATACCTAGATTGCCAATATCATCAAGTGCATCAAATTTGCCCAAACGTTATGTCCAAGGTTATGTCATAATACTCGGAAAAGCAGGTTAATTGGTAAATTACAGCAACACGTGAAAATAGCATTATGTCTAACTTTCTAACGTTACGGCGTCATATTGAGAGTCACAGACCAATTAGAATGTCCGTTAAAAAGTTGACGAAGGTAACACTTCATGTGTACTCTCAACGCGGTGTTACACTAAAACACATAAAATAAAAAGTACACGGTAGATTCAAATAGTTACCGCTATCTTCCAAGATCCGCACACGAGTACCAACTAAAGCGGCCATTGGGGAGTAACAACGAAAGGATTCCGAGTACAAGTAGCAAGAGCGGATGGTTCCTACACTTCTTCATCTTCTTTCATTCACTGGCGGATTGCAAGCGATTTACATGTGAATATCGCCACCTACTGTACAAGAGTGTGTATCACCCATGTCCCGAATTTCACAATCTGTACATGAGTCAATTGTCAACGGTTCCTCTTCGTTTTCATCTCGTTTGAGTTGAATGGTTGGCAACGAGCAATCAGATAGATTACTGGCCGTGAATGGACTGTCGATCAGCCAGTCTATAAAATGGATATCATGATACAGACAAAAACATTTCAAATACTGTACAAACTCATTTCACAAACAATCATGAAACTTACTTTTAATGTGTGCTATCAATACAGAAAATGTATCCTGGATTTGTTGTTGTTGTTTTTGTTTGTTACATTATTTAGTTTATTTGTTTTTGTGACATTCAGGAACATAGCAAGCAGCAACACTTGCCGAGTTCGGGAACGATTTCCAATCGGTGCTGGGTGTGCCTTCGGACTACGAACAGTTCCCAATCAACAACCGACAACTGGGTCAGCAGGTACCCGGGACGCAGCGACTTTCGATGCAACTATCGGACCCTGTTGGGGGTTGCTCAACAGCAACAGCAACAGCAGTAGCAACACTTTTGCCATTCCGAGCTTTAATGTCCCCGTGGGTAGAGCTATATCATTTCTACGAGTTATCTACTCTACACATAAGACAATTATTTCACATGCACACAAAAATTCCTGAAATCAATTCAAATACCTTAGGACCATAACAAGGGAGAAATCACTCATCACTGGCTGAAACGCAAAACCCCCTATCTGCAGAACTTTCAGATTGGCAGATATCATCTTGACAGACCGCATTCTGCAAGGAAACAGCAAATTTGTTTGAGTTTTCTCACCAAACACACTACATTTTTCAGATTGGAGGGTTTGTGCTTTGTCATGGTCAGGTGTGGACTGTATTTTCTTTGTTAGAAATTATTTTTTAAGAAAGTGACAGTCAAAATGTGACAAACATCCACACAGCAGGATGCTACTACATGTGCACAAAAGAAACTAAACCGGTATTGCATAGCGATTCTGGTGATTAGCACATGTGGGTCTGTGCGTGGGTGTGTCCTATAGTTGCTTTATTAACAGGAGACAAGCTGTCTCTAGTGACTAGTCAGGGACCGGTCCAGAAATAAAGGTGGAGGATTCTCTCTTTCGACTTCTGCACAACAAACATGATGATAAAGAAAAAAATGAGTAAGTACATCATCATTGACGAAATCTGTAGGCTATCAAACTTTGATAAATATTTGCGTGTTTTTCTTCTCAGTGTTATCAAATAAGCTGTGTAAAATTGGCTGTTGGCTGATTCTGCTTTGAAGCTTGTTAATGTCTTAAAAGCCCAAATGAAGTTATCACAGAATACTTTTGAAAACCCGACATCGTGTCCACCATTATTAACTTAGTGTGGCGGAGGATGTGACTTAAAACAACGTGGGTTGTTTGCTGGTTAAACCTGATCAACCAGTCCTGTTGGACTGCAGGGTATGACTGTTGGCAAAATCAAAATAAGTCTCCGCTTTTTTCTCTGGTGTTAGCATGATTTAAGAAAATAATGATTAAACCGGATTTGCACTGGAAAAACATTACACATGAGAAAGATGGTATGAGTAAACAATCCTGATCAGTTATTTGTTGATTTTACCGGGACTCCATAGTAAAAGTGGAGAGCATATCTCTGCTCACTCACCTTAAGTGTAATGTGTACTTTTCATATTTTTTTAGTACTTTGTCAGTGAAAAAAAAATCTGTGTTCTTTTCCTTTTAGAGGAAGCAGCTATAGGTTTTGCACTAGGAGCAGTGGGAGGCTCCATTATGGGAGCCACAGAAGACCCCGTTGACAGGACGCTGGCTGCAATGACCTCAGCGAGTCAACTGAAACCACTGATCGAAGACATCAGAACAGTGGGTGCTCTCGGTCTGGGGACTCTCATGGGAGCTTCTGCACTGACCATCGCCATGACCTCGGTTGTAGCTGGCGTTGTCATGGCAGCAGTGGTAGCTTCAGTGTTCGTCACCACAAGGAATTGTGGGACAACTACGACCAACTATGCAAACTTGTGGGCAAATGCAGGACTTGCCGGTGCCTTTGGGACCACACTCAGCGGTGCCACGCTCGGTTTTCTCATTGAAATGATTGTGAATAATTTTGGCATGATTGGTCTTCTGTGTGCACTGTCCATTTTCAGCATCCTCAAACCACCCCTGCGCTTTGTATTTAACGTCCTCTGGGAACAAGGAGAGGCCTGTTGCACTCAAGGGTCTATGATTTGGGACACAGAAAGGAAACAGATCGAGATTTCAGATTTAGAGCAGAGAGAAAGGGTGGCTGTGCAAATAGAAGAGAGGATCCTGACAATAAATAATGGGATGAACACTCCTGACGCAAATGACACGTCAACATGGGCCACTGAGCGGAAGCTGCGAGAAGGACTAGAGAGGAAGAAGACGGAGGCTGAAGAGGCACAAGTCAAACAAAGGACCCTCCAAGACTGGATCAAAACTGTGATGATTAAATATGTGGACTTTTTGGCTTTTTCGGGAATTCCAATGACGGTGGTTGCTGTCGTAACTTCACTTTTTGGTTTATTTGGATATGGAGGCCACCATTCTGTGTTCATTGTACTTGTAGCTTTAGTAGCAATCATTGGCTATTTGATTCTGAAGTCGTCTGATTTTAAGTTCTGGATGTTGGTCGGATGCATGGGAATGCTTGCAACATTCGTGATTGCCATGCTCACCGTACAAGCCGGGGACGAGATCAGGAATCAGAAAGGGCAACCGCAAGATGTAAATGGTGACAGCATCAGCGATCGCATGAGTGACCGTTCCTCTCGGGAAGCTTTGAAAACAGCAATTATTGCAGCAAAACTTTGCCAGCTGAGTTTGGGAGCCACAGTTGGAGGGCCCCTTGTAAGGCATGCAGCTGGAGGGAGCAAAGTCATCATCGGGGCTGCCGTCATTTCCGTAGTTTTACTGGCTGGTGTGGAGATTTTATCCCCAGCTCTGGGGAAGGGAGGCAAAGCTGGGGCACTGCTGGGGGTGGTGGGTACATCTGGGGTGTCTGTGGGTGCAGTGGCAGCCATGGCAGGGCAGTGTTCTTCATGGCCACGTACTTCGGGAGCTGTCGCGGGCGTGATTATTGGCGCATTGGTCATGGGTAACTTTCATTTTGTCATGCTTGGAGTACAACTTTTTGTTGCCTACACTTTTGCTATGACTAATGCTTTCTGAAACATAGGATGTACAGTAAATTGCAGTGGAGCCAAATACAATATGGACATGTAAATTTGCATTCTCCAATGGTATAATCCATTTGAATTCACTGTGCCAAAAAGAATACAAATACGCTTGTTGTATAAAGTATTTTTCTTTTCTTTTTAATAGGAGTTATGAAAAGCTTCATTCCACTTCCTGGGTCTTGTTCTGATGATTTGGACATTTGTGTTAGATTAATAAATTATAATAATTATAATTTAATGCAGTCCAAGCAGGGATTTTATTACAATTAGTTGAACTGCATTATCATTCCAGTGAAGCAGGTAGCCACCTCCTTAAAGCCCCTGAAGTGAATATAAATGTCTTGTAAATTTCCGTGTCATTCAGTCTGTGGCTTACGCGACAGGACAGCACACTCGTCCCCACAGACAGGTCTCAGGGGGCAGTGCCCATCCACCAAGAAGCTTGTATCCTCATCCTGAAGCACGGATCTCTAAAAATAAACAAACCTTTTTACAATTTTTATCGTAGAAGCCTATTTTTGTGTTGTGAAATATTCATGTTGAATTTTTCATCACGAGAATAAAATATCAACAAAAAAAAAAAAGAGAGTGATTTTTCTTATTTTTAATTGATCCGCAACCGCTTATCACAACTTTACTGAAAATAATGTGTGCAGGCCACAACGAAGACATCAACGTTGGTGTGCAACAGTTGTTTCAAAGCTTTTTCAAAGTGCATCTCTGAGGTTTTGTGTGTGTGTGTGTGTGTGTGTGTGTGTGTGTGTGTGTGTGTGTGTGTGTGTGTGTGTGTGTGTGTGTGTGGCATCTGTGAAATATGTAAATATGTAAATAGCCGAGGACACAGCAGTAGACTGGTACCCTCGACAGTAAAGTGTTGAAACATAAGCGTAAAAAATGTTTCAGGTGCTTTATGGCACAAAAATGCAATCAATCGTCTGCAAAATGTATGTGGACATCCCTAGTTATACCCACATCAACCGATTAAAATGTCAGAGCGATAGCCCCAATATTTTAGATTTGATGGACGAAGTGGTTTCCCCATTAAGCGACATAAGCTTCTGTGGTATGTTTCTTTGGAGAGGAAAAAAGATTACTGTCCATAAAATCAGAACTATTAGAACGGTTATTGTAATAATTTGAGAGGTTAGCTCCAGAGTGCCCTTAAATGGTGTCATGTTGAACCGAAAATTTTGGACAATGGAAGTCATTTTTTTTCAATCTATTCATGCCTGAACAACCAGTCGATTTACAGTTTTTTTTTAACCCTTTCAGGGACAGCGGTTACTATAGTGGACACCTTATCATGTTATCAGGTTACAGGGTGCATGAAAGGGTTAATTACTACCCTTAGATATTTTTTGTTGCTGACAAACTTCTGCTCCACACTACCACATATTTATCAGTGATGTAGTGAAAAATGAAAAGAGAAAAATGTTGACTTTGCCCGTCATCTAGCAAGGGTACGCCCCTAAACATTCTACTTGCACTGCTAAAATTTCAGGTTACGGGCCACTGTGCTCCTAATAAAAAAATAGATAAATAGATCAAATTGTCTGGAGCCCTGAGGGAGCAAGTGAACGAGGAATCTCCACAAATCTATTCACTTAGCCACATCCAATTTGGTTGTGGGTTTGATGTACTCAAGGTGGGATCTATGTATATACCCGTATACACTCTCTATACTGCAAATGCTGTCGATGGGAATCCCAGCTGTTGTCGCAATTTGGACACCATTGAGGACTATTGGCTGGGAGAGGCAATGCTGCAAATGGAGTGCAGTAACATTAAAAATATGGATCAAAGTAAGTACTATCTGTAGGTTAATACTACATGGAATTTACTTTACAGGTAATGTTATGAAGTAGATATACTTCAAGTGTTCTGCTATCAATCACTATAATTGTTTACTGCAGTCTCTTGGCCTTCCAAATGTCAGAAACAGTACAGACAAACAGAAAGTCTAGACGTTTTGTTTCTATTTCAAGTTTATTGTGGTTGTGAATCGAGGCTAAATAATAAAAAACATCCGTCATAGTCTCAATATTTATGGATCTAACAGCATATTCTAGTTACTAAAGACTGTACAAGACACCGTGTTCACTGTTTTACTATGGATACTATTTTTTTTTAGCCTTCCAAACTCATAAAAGATAAAGCCGGGAAACATCTCAGAATGTGTCTTTGTACCATGGTTCACCACCGAAGGGCAGTGTACACTGAAAAAGTGCGAGAGCATAAGGTAGTGGCCTTGCTCATCTCTCTCTAAGACACTCATTTACTTGATGTGATTGTGAGCCTTCACGTTCAGTTTTGAAAGGAGGCAAGGTCACAGAGATAAATTAATTTGGATTGTGACGGGTAAGCTTCTTTAGGCTTGGATTGCCTTCTAAATCAATTTGATTTAAAATCCTGTGACATGTTTCTTCATATGGCATGAAACTTGGGGAACTCTGTGCCTTGCTCAATGGCACCTCGGCTGCAGTTCCCTCTATTTGTTGAGATAAAAATCAGCTTATACCGACGTTAAAGGTTTGTTCTTGATTTACTCACAGATGAAAAAAAAAAGTTTGGTCAGAAGACTATGAGATAAATTCTTTGGGATCGCACTTAAGCGAGATAACGTTAGGTTTGCAGAGGAATCTTTATGTTACAACAGTGCTTAGATCATTTGGAGCGGCGTGTGCTCCAAGTTTAAAGGGGATGTTTGGAATCAAAGTTTGAAAACCGTCACGTCTGTCTCTCTGTTTTGTTTTCCGCCCCAGTTGGACTGAAGGGCGTTTCCCCCGGCAGGCGCACCTGTTTCGTGTTTACCAATCAAGCCGCTCCACTTCACCGTGGGTAGCGGAACATGTGGTCGCTCTGCTACCTTCTCATGGAACTCATTCCCATCTGATATGCGTAACACAGACTCCCATTTCTTTCTTCAATCAGTCAATCAATCTTTATACAGCACTTTTCATACGTAAAAATGCAGCTCGAAGTGCTTCAAATAAGTTCAAATCCTACACCAGGGGTCTCAAACTCCGGTCCTGGAGGGCCGCTCTCCTGCATGTTTTCCAAGTCTCCCTGTTGCAACACACCTGATTCAAATGATCAGATCATCAGCAAGCTCTGTGGAAGCCTGACATTGAACCTGTCCAGCGGCCCTCCAGGACCTGAGTTTGAGACCCCTGTCCTACACCATACCAACTTGTCCGCAAGGACGCAAACACACACAAGCAAATATACACAAAGATATGAGGTCATAGACCAATGGACCTAAGGACCTGAGGTAAGGAAACACAGAGCCATCTGCACCCGGACCACATCGCAGATCATGGCCACCAGCATTGAGGGGCATATGATCTCGCTTGTGCGTAAGTCATTTTATTTATGCACCTGACACAGCCACCTGGAAATTTGTGTGCAACAACCAAAGAGGCGTGATTCGGTGAAGTCAAAGAGTGGCCCTCATTTCCAGATCACGGATTTAGGTACCAAAGAAATCCGTTTGGAAAATATGTCACACTTTAAATGTGAAATGAACTTGATTGAACCTGAAGTTTGAATGATCGTCACCAGTGCCACGTGTGTGACGTGTGCTTATCTACATTCTACCTAGTACTTTTTGCATTCACTTTTTAATAAATCCAATATAGGTAATTTAATTGGAATACCGTACTCATAACTGAATGCATGTGAGAAGCTAGTGCAAAGCATGTGAGATCGATCAGTTTGCCAAGCCACACATTGCATGTCATCGCCATTGACTGTCGCCGCCGCAATGTCGGCGAAGATAAAGAAGACAAAGAAGAAAAAGAAGATGTGACGGTCCTAAAATAGTGGTGATAAATTGTGATTTAGCGATGACGGAAGCATGGTTGAAATAACGATAACAGGATGACAGACTGGCTAAGGGGTCCCAAATAGCCGTGACGAACTATATTATTCACCGATGACGGAAGCACGGTTAAAATAACAACACTGCAGTGACAGACTGACGATGACAGATTTGGTTGGGTTGAAATAATGACCGACCGATGATGACAGACAGGTGTACCTGCCGCTGGCAAATGACGAACCGGCAAACTTTACTGATGCGCTCATCTCTGGAATTTGGACTATTATAGTTGTCGATTTGGCTTTTGTTATGCCCACTGTTCTTTCCTCCCTGCCTCAGTTGCTCAGCCCCTCTATCCTGATTTCTCTCTCAGAAAATACCTTTTGAGGTGCTTGTTTATCCCCAACTATTAAATTCACACGGTAATTTGTACTTTTTCACATCGATCTTTATTGCTCAAGCATTCTTACTATGGATGATGTACAGCTTCATCTCTCAGAGTTACTCTCTGGTTTTCCTATTTCCTAATCTTTTACGTTAGAGGGGAAGTGGTCAATATCCGCCGCCCGTCTTTCTCTCACAGCCCTCTTTTGGTCCGCTTGAGGTCAGTGTGGGTCAACACCCTTCTGTCAACTGCCATCATTTACCGATGAATCCATAAAGGTAAACAGCATAAATGCTGAGTCATACATATGTCTTTTAGATGTATATGATCACACATGCCAAAACATTTACAACAGAGACGAAGAGCAACCACGGCCCTTTGAAGTGTGCAACACAGTGGGACACATCAATCGTGCAAAGCAGCAGGTACCACATTGTGTTTTTATTGTCTCCAAAACCTATACTGTGTTGGAAGGTACAGCGTACGTCAAAAGGTATGACCTTTAAGAAACTTTGCAAACGTTTTGTGAAACTATAATCAGTGACCCATTAACCATCAATTGAAATGTAGTACAACAATACGATATAATATTGACATACAGTATATTTATTAAATGGCAAATTAAGGGGCTTATAATGTTCATCACATACCATGGTCTTCGAGCCATCTCCCACACAAACCGTAAATCAAAAGGTTATGAAGCGTTTCCATTTTCAGGCCCAACTCTATGGAACCATTTCCCACAATCTGTTGGAATGAATCTTGGAGTGTTTCAAACAACACCTGAAAAACCATTTATTTGGTCCAACCATTCAATAGATTACATACCTCCCTTTTGTTCCCAGGCCAGGTCAGTTTTGTTCTTTTAGTTTATTTCTACTCTGGATGATTTCTTTTAGTGTCATGTTCACCTACTTCGGATTATTAAATACAAAAATGATGATCAAAGGCCATTTTCATTGTATTAGATCTTTCTTATGCCTCGACATCCCTAGCTGTAGTGAAATGATATCCGCTTACAGCCTGCGGTGGTTGGAATATATCCCACCGGCTCATCGCTCCCAACAGTACGGTATAAAAACAAATACTTTCACATACAAAACATAAAAAAAAGAGATGTTTCCATGTTTGGAAAACAGACCCAGCCCAGCCTATTTCAAGACAGTATCTCTCTCTCTCTTTCTCTCTGTCTCTCCCCATGGATTTTGAACACTGCTCATCCTGAACAGGGTCGCGTAGCGCAGACTACACCCTGAGCTGGTCACCATTCAGTTCCATGACATACATAGAGACAA